CCGCGGCACCGCCGGGGTGACGTGCCAGCCCCGAGGCCCCCTCTGGCCACGTAGCCCGGGGCTGGGCCCGCAGCCCCGAGCTCGCCCGCCGCTCTTCGCCCGGGGAAATGCGAGTCCCCTGGCTCTGGGCCGGGAGCCCCTTTGTGGCCGGCCGCGTCTGGAAAGCAGACCGAGCCGCTCTGAAGCCTTTGCAGGATCGGGTGGGACGCGCAGGGGGGCCCGGGCACGGGAGGGGGCAGGGAGCACCCACGCTCTGTTCCCGTCCACCCCAGGCGGAGCAGCCTGTCGCACTAAAGATGAAAGGCCGGGGTTGGCTGGCCCTGCTTCTGGGGGCTCTGCTGGGGACGGCCTGGGCGCGGAGGAGCCAGGATCTGCACTGTGGAGGTAAAGGCACAGAGAGATGGGGAAGAAGGGCGGAGGAGGCCGCCCGGGAGACCCCGGCCGCGAGAATCAGAATGGCTGTCCCGGGGGCGATTCCTTTCTCACCCTCCCCCACTTTTCTCTCATGCACCAGCTTGCAGGGCTCTGGTGGACGAACTGGAGTGGGAAATTGCCCAGGTGGATCCCAAGAAGACCATCCAGATGGGGTCTTTCCGGATCAATCCAGATGGCAGCCAGTCAGTGGTGGAGGTAACTTACTATTCTTCCCAAGTAAAGTAGCTCACTCTGATTTTGAATAAAAAGTCAAGTCGTTAAGAAGGATCTTGGTTTAATAGGGATTAACAAAACATTAATAAAGAAGTTGAGAAATCATGACCCAAAGTGTTATGCTTGGGCTCTCATGGAAGGGCCAGCGGGCTTATACATCCTGTGTTCCGCTTGCGGGCTCCAAACCCCTGAATATTGTTTCTGCTGTAGAAGTTCTTAGCATATAGGAACTCCCCGCTTCAGCCCTCTTCTCTGCGTCCTAATACCATGACGCCAGTTTTCCTCTGGTAGTGTGGTGTGCAAACATGGGCCTGGGGGGAGTGGAAAGTCTTACGCTTGCACTTAGTTGAAAATATAACACACACGGCGCAAGGGGTTGAGTTTCAGCTGTCAAGCTATCAAAGCCCCTGCAGTTTGATTCCCCGCCAGGGAGGGACCCACAGGGCCCAGCAGACCTCTTTTGTCTCCCCACGCTGCTCCCCTCAGCAGTGTATTTCACTCCACCTGTTTGTTCTGCGCCCCATTCTGTCTCTGGTGAATCCTCTGACACCCTGCACCTCTGGCCTATACCCAGTTCTTGTATGCATAAAAAAATAAATCATAAAAAATATGTATATAGGCCCTCCCTGGTGGCGCAGCGGGTTAAAGCACAGCACTGAGAA